GGCAAAATTGTCCCAAAGCCTTCCTAGGTGGATTAGCATTGGTTCTGTTAATGTGCAACAGGTTCTTATTAATAGAATGCTATTTTAATGTCTTTTTCAGGAAATTCTTCCCTCTGTCAAGGATTAAAAGGGATTAGTTACTGGGACATAGACTTTTAAGGGCAATAAATAAAGGTCCTAAATGTTAAGTATACAAAAGCTGTTTTTTCACAACTGGGGATACATATGGAACTCAATAGTTTAACTTTTATTGAAACCACTGTGATAGTAAAGACCACATTCTCTGATCACAAAACAATCAAGTTAGAAAGTCAGTAAGACTTGTTTCTTAAATTTATTTCCAAACAAATATTTATTTACTAATCATTGTTTTGTTACTGACTTTCTAACTTGATTGATAAAAGTTAAATATAAGAAACATAAAGCACGTTAAGTATTTTGAACATGAAGGGAGGATGTGATTGGAGAGCTTGTCATAGCCCTGAGAATGGCTAGAGGAGTTGGATCTGACCTGAAATTCCAGAATTGAGTCACCAGAGGAACTCCTGCCTCCTAGGTGAGCTCTGGAACTATTGAGTTCCATATGTATCCCCAGTTGTGATGAGGTCCATAGAGTGAATCAAAAAGTTTCTGCTGCTAGAATGAACTCTCAATGCCTAAGAGTCTAGACAGCAAACACTAAATAGAATGCTCTTCCAGAAAGTCCTCACCTTTCACATCCTTGCTGGCTAGCTAAGAAGCAACCTGTATAAAAGGGCAAAATGAGGACCTCTGCTTCACTTCTCTCTTTCGAGGCTTGTGCACCACCTACCATTGGCAGAGCCTAATCCATCTTTAGAAGCTGAATCTTAAGAGAGTCTGGGAATGTCATTTTGAGCTTTCTAAATTCTACTTTTTAGTAAGGTACCTCCAGAGGTTAAGCAAAGCCACTTCATCTCTACCACATCATTCCTTTTTTTTTTTTAAACGATTATTTATTTATTAAGACTTTTTTTTCCATATGTGCTTGAAAAGAATGTGCATTACATAGCTGTTAGGTGATCCCATTGAACCTGTCTGCATCAATTGTAAGATGCATCATTAGTTTATGTTCCGTTAAGAAGAAAAAAGCTGACACTTAAACTGGACTCAATGATTTCTTCTTACTTAGAGTTGTTTTATTTATACTAATATTTCTTTCAACTTATTTAAATGTTGATTTTTTTTTCTATTGTGCATACATGTAAAAAATGAAATAGCAAAATAAGTTGGTCTAGGTGTTCCTGAATCTTTTTCATAATCTCTTCTGAATCATTTTTCTGCTCTGAATAGTTGATATTTTTGTTTTTCTACATGATAATGTTTCCATAGAAGGCATTGGCGATACAGCATTTCTTAAAGAGTGGTCCTCTATTATATCCTGAATTTTTTTTTTCACATTTTGCAGACTTTTTATGCTGAGACTTTAATGATCTTATTAGGAGGTATCAATACAAGTTTGTAGCAGTGATAAGACTCAGATTCCTTTGTCAGATTGTTCTTAAATTTTTGTTTTTTACTGAAACATTAAGGAGTAGCAGTTGTTTAGTTATGCCTCTAGTAATAATAAGCAAATTCACAGATATGCAGGCAATGATGTGTATATGTCAGAATTTATTTCAGAGATGTTAAAATGTGGGAAAACTCATCTTAAAATTGGTGAAAGTGGTATTATGTCTGTTAGATCAAGCTTGTTATGTTAGCCAAATCTTCTATATCTTTTTTGCCTTTGAGAAAAATTTTATTTTTGCATGTACATCTGTCAATTTATGCTTTATATATTTTGAGACTATTTTGTTAGATGCATATAAATTCAGACTTGTTAACTTTGTGATTAATTGAATAATATGTCATTATCTAGTGACTCTTTTTATCTTTAGTCTATTTTTCTTTCCTTAAAGTCTATTTTGCCTACCAATAGCATCTGTCTAGCAGTACCAACTTTTCTCAGTAAGGATTTGTCTTGTATATCACATTCTGCCCATTTACTTCCAATTTTATGTATTCATATATTTTAAATGTACCTCTTACAATAGGGAATTTAGTGGGGTTTTTTTTTTTGCTCATTTTTTTGAGTCCAAGTTTTTAAACATGTTATTTTTTCCCATTTATATTAATTATAAATGCATCAGTTATTTATTACTGTATAACAAATTGCTGCAAAGTAATTAGCTTAAAACAACAGTTGTCTTTCTCAGTGTTGGCTGGCCAACAGTTCATGTGCTACTCTTATCTGGGTTCGCTCATGTGGTTTCATTCAGCTGGCAGGTCTGCTGGAGCTGAGTGCCCCCATCCCTGATGAGTTCACTTACATGTGTAGGGCCTTAGCTGAGGTCCTGCAGCAGCTGGGATGTCTGAGACTCACTCTCCATGTGGTTTCTTTCCACAATAGATTTCATTCTCAAGGTTGACCCAGGCTTCCAGCAACCTTGACAACCTGATAGCATGGTGGTCTTGGGGTTCCAAGAGAGTGGAGGAGGAAGACCTTGTGGCCTGGGCTCTGGACCCTACACATTGTCACATCTGCCACCTTCTCTTGAGACTTTGGGAAGTCAAAAAACCAGTGCAGAGAATACAGTGAGAAATAGACACCCCTTCTTGATATGAGAAACTGCAAAATATTAGACTTATTTTTCTGTCTACCACAGTAAAGATTAATATATTTGGAATTTTTTCTACTCCCATGTTTTATATTTCAAATAGTTTTTCTGTGTTCCTCTTTTCTTTTTTTGGATTATTTTTTCCCATTCCAGTTTTTTATTCCTCACTCTCAATTTGGGCATTTTGAACTCCATTCCTTTCCTGCTTAGCTTAGAAATTTTAGTATGCATTCTTAACTTGCCAAGTCTAAACTTAATCATTTTTACCTTAAGAACTCTAAGAACTAAAGAGCAAATTATTTCCCTTCCTGTTTACCTACTGTTGTTGTTGGGCATTTTGGTTCTATTTATTATTATAGAAGACATTATTATCTTATATAGTCAGGTGGTTTTTTTTTTTATTTACTTATGGAAATCTGTGCTCATCATTCCCTCTTGCATCTTACGCTTCCTGTCTTAGATCTTTTTTCTTGATTGAAGCTTATTCTTTAAGACTTTCTTTTAATGATGAAGTGCTAGCGGCAAAATCTTCAGTTTCTCAATTAAAAAAATAAACTAGATTTCTTGGGCTAAAAAAATTAACCATGAGATCTTTGTTTCTTACCTAACAGAGTCCAAGTAATAAAATGTAGATGATATCAATAAGTGAACCCAAGCCTTCTATATTCTATAACCTTCATTGGGTAAAGACTGGTGTGTTGTTCTGGAAAAGGTTTGGATAATTAAGGATATTTTCTCTGAACATTGCTTATATTCCTATTTTTAGTATGGCACTTACATGAGTGAAATTGCCTGTGTATCAGCAGATTATGTGTCTGCAAAGTTATTTTGGATGCAGAGAGATACTGATAGAACTTTACTAAACAGCTGGTGTAACAGCTAAATGTTGGTATTCACTATACATTCTGGGTGTCCAAAACAAATAGTAGGACACTAGCAAGATATTTAAATGACAGAAGCTATGCAGAGATTGGTTCAGACATATTTCATTACATTTGTCTATTCCTTTCCTTTTGCTTATTTTTTTTTCTTTTTTTAAGAGACAGAATCTCACTCTGTCATCCAGGCTGGAGTGCAGTGACAGGATCACAGCTCACTGTAACCTCAAATTCCTGGGCTCAAGCCATCCTCCCGCCTCAGCCCCCTAAGTAGCTAGAACCAAAGGCATGCACCACCATTCCCGGCTAATTTTTAAAGTTCTTTCTTTCTTTCCTTCCTTTCCTTCCCTTCCCCTCCCTCCCTCCCTCTCACTATATTGCCCAGGCTGGTCTTGAACTACTGGCTTCAAGCAGTCCTCCTGCCTAAGCCTCCCAAATTGCTGAGATTATAGGCGTGAGCCCCACCATGCCCAGCCTGTTTATTCTTTTTAATGTACCAAAGAGTGGTGGGTGCTGTGGCTCGTGCCTGTAATCCTAGCATTCTGGGAGGCCAAGGTGGCTGGATCGTTTGAGCTCAGGAGTTTGAGACGAGCCTGAGCAAGAGCAACCCCATCTCTACTAAAAAAAAAAAAAAATAGAAATTAGCTGGACAATTACAAATATATAGAAAAAATTAGCCAGGCATGGTGGCACATGCTTGTAGTCCCAGCTACTTGGGAGGCTGAGGCAGTAGGATCGCTCGAGCCCAGGAGTTGGAGGTTGTTGTGAGCTAGGCTGACACCATGGCACTCTAGCCCAGGCAACAGAATGAGTACAAAAAAATGTACCAAAGAGCATTTCATTATTTCTATTAATAACAAATACCCTAGCCGGACGCGGTGGCGCGCGCCTGTAGTCCCAGCTACTCGGGAGGCTGAGATGGGAGGATCGCTTGAGCCCAGGAGATTGAGGTTGCCGTGAGCTAGGCTGATGCCACGGCACTCACTCTAGCCTGGGCAACAAAGTGAGACTCTTTTTTTTTTTTTTTTTTTTGAGACAGAGTTTGGTGTTTCTCATTCCTGTGCATTTATGTATATTCTGCTGTACATATGTGTCTATCCCCAAAATATTTATATAAGTTGATGTACTGGATTTTAAACCCTCCATAAAAGGTATTACATACAGTATAAGTTCTCCAGCCTGCTTTTATAATCATCATTTTGTGAGACTCAACCATATTGATGGCCTTAGTTCATTTTTAAAAAAAAATTGTTGTGGGGGATTCTATTTTATGAATATATTATGTTTTATTCCTTATTGAAGGATATTTAGGTGGTTTTTCTATTATAAACAGTGCTGCTATGAATATCATAGGCGAGGGCTATATGTTAGAGCTTCTTCAGGATAAATACCTATGTACAGAATTGCTGGATGGTGGTAGTACATGCCCATCTTCAGTCTTACTAGATGTTACCATATTGTTCTCCAAAGTAGTAGTTGTTTAATTGTTTGATTTTTTTTTCAGTGCCTGAAGACCTCTCATTAGAAGAGAGAGAAGAACTTATAGACATTCGTCGAAGAAAAAAGGAACTTATTGATGACATCGAGGTAAAAAAAAAAAAAAAAACCCTCTAGTTTTTTCTTTTGGATAAAATAGTAGAGTAGCTTCATAAAAATGTAAAAAAATGGGTGTTTACTGTGTGTATATAAGAATCACACAAAGAGACAAAGCAAAAGAGTTTTCCCAGTTGGTAAAGCAAAGATTACACACCAGACTTTGGAGACCCTGGGTTGGAAATCAAGATGTCGTAGAATTGTAGTTAGCAGTGATCAATCGGCTTATGGCTCAAGGGCCATAACTGACATGTTTAATCAGCAGTGATCCTCAAAAGTATTGCTCTCTAAAATTGTGCAATAAGATCTTGTTTCTTTAGAATGTTACCTTTTCCATTTTTGGCACTCAGCTATCCTTTGAATGAACACCTCGGCATATATTGGGTTCCAGCTATGTACCAAGTGCCTCCTAGAGACAAATTAAAGATAAATAAAAACACAGGCAAATAAACATCTTTCCCACTTTTTTTTTTTTTTTTACCATATTGATGCCCGAACTTAGTGGCGGACACCCGATTGCATAGCGCACTACAGCCCAGATCCTGGGCTCAAGCGATCCTCCCATCTCAGCCTCCCGAGTAGCTGGGACTACAGGCGCGCGCCACCGCGTCGCTAGGGTATTTGTTATTAATAGAAATAATGAAATGCTCTTGTGTACTTTTTTTGTACTCATTCTGTTGCCTGGGCTAGAGTGCCATGGTGTCAGCCTAGCTCACAAAACCTCCAACTCCTGGCTCGAGCGATCCTACTGCCTCAGCCTCCCAAGTAGCTGGGACTACAAGCATGTGCCACCATGCCTGGCTAATTTTTTCTATATATTTGTAATTGTCCAGCTAATTTCTATTTTTTTTTTTTAGTAGAGATGGGGTTGCTCTTGCTCAGGCTCGTCTCAAACTCCTGAGCTCAAAACGACCCAGCCACTTGGCTCCCAGAATGCTAGGATTACAGGCACGAGCACAGCACCCACCACTCTTTGGTACATTAAAAAGAATAACAGGCTGGGCATGGTGGGGCTCACGCTATAATCTCAGCAATTTGGGAGGCTTAGGCAGGAGGACTGCTTGAAGCCAGTAGTTCAAGACCAGCCTGGGCATATAGTGAGAGGAGGGAGGGAGGGGAAGGGAAGGAAGGAAGGAAAGAAAAACTTTAAAATTAGCGGAATGGTGGTGCATGCCTTTGTTCTAGCTACTTAGGGGGCTGAGGCGGGAGGATGGCTTGACCAGGAATTTGAGGTTACAGTGAGCTGTGATCCTGTCACTGCATCCGCCTGGATGACAGAGTGAGATTCGTCTCTTAAAAAAGAAAAAAAATAAGCAAAAGGAAAGGAATAGACAAATGTAATGAAATATGTCTGAACAATCTCTGCATAGCTTCTGTCATTTAAATATCTTGCTAGTGTCCTACTATTTGTTTTGGACCCCAGAATGTATAGTGAATACCAACATTTAGCTGTTACCCAGCTGTTTAGTAAGTTCTATCAGTATCTTCTGCATCCAAAATAACTTTGCAGACACATAATCTGCTGATACACAGGCAATTTCACTCATGTAAGTGCCATACTAAAAATAGGAATATAAGCAATGTTCAGAGAAAATATCCTTAATTATCCAACCTTTCCAGAACAACACACCAGTTTTACCCAATGAAGGTTATAGAATATAGAAGGCTTGGGTTCACTATTGATATCATCTACATTTTATTACTTGGACTCTGTTAGGTAAAGAAACAAAGATCTCATGGTTAATTTTTAGCCAAGAAACTATTTATTTTTTTAATTGAGAAACTGAAGATTTGCCGCTAGCACTTCATCATTAAAGAAAGTCTTAAAGAATAAGCTTCAATCAAGAAAAAGATCTAGACAGGAAGCGTAAGATGCAAGAGGAATGATGAGCACAGATTTCCATAAGTAATAAAAAAAACCACCTGACTATATAAGATAATAATGTCTTCTATAATAATAAATAGGAACCAAAATGCCAACAAAACAGTAGGTAAACAGGAAGGGAATAATTTGCTCTTTAGTTCTTAGAGTTTTAAGGTAAAAATGATTAAGTTTAGACTTGGCAAGTTAAGAATGCATACTAAAATTTCTAAGCTAAGCAGGAAAGGAATGGAGTTCAAAATGCCCAAATTGAGAGTGAGGAATAAAACTGGAATGGGAAAAATAAATCCAAAAAAGAAAGAGGAACAGAAAATATTTGAATATAAAACATGGGAGTAGAAAAATTCCAATATATTAATTTTACTGTGGTAGACAGAAAAATAAGTCTAATATTTTGCAGTTTCTCATATCAAGAAGGGGTGTCTATTTCTCACTGTATTTTCTGCACTGGTTTTTGACTTCCCAAAGTCTCAAGAGAAGTGGCAGATGTGACAATGTGTAGGGTCCAGAGCCCAGGCCACAAGGTCTTCCTCCTCACTCTCTTGGAACCGCCAAGACCACCATGCTATCAGGTTGTCAAGGTTGCTGGAAGCCTGGTCAACCTTGAGAATGAAATCTATTGTGGAAAGAACCACATGGAGAGTGAGTCTCAGACATCCAGCTGCTGCAGGACCTCAGCTAAGGCCCTACACATGTAAGTGACTCATCAGGGATGGGGCACTCAGCTCCAGCAGACCTGCCAGCTGAATGAAACCACATGAGCGAACCCAGATAAGAGTAGCACATGAACTGTTGGCCAGCCAACACTGAGAAAGACAACTGTTGTTTTAAGCTAATTACTTTGCAGCAATTTGTTATACAGTAATAAATAACTGATGCATTTATAAATTAATATAAATGGAAAAAATAACATGTTTAAAAACTTGGACTCAAAAAATGAGCAAAAAAAAAAAACCCCACTAAATCCCTATTGTAAGAGGTACATTTAAATATATGAATACATAAATTGGAAGTAATGGCAGAAGTGATATACAAGACAAATCCTTACTGAGAAAAGTTGGTACTGCTAGACAGATGCTATTGGTAGGCAAAAGACTTTAAGGAAAGAAAATAGACTAAAGATAAAAAGAGTCACTAGAATATGACATATTATTCAATTAATCACAAAGTTAACAAGTCTGAATTTATATGCATCTAACAAAATAGTCTCAAAATATATAAAGCAAAAATTGACAGATGTACATGCAAAATAAAATTTTTCTCAAAGGCAAAAAGATATAGAAGATTTGGCTAACATAACAAGCTTGATCTAACAGACATAATACCACTTTCACCAAATTTTAAGATGAGTTTTCCACATTTTAACATCTCTGATATTCTGACATATACACATCATTGCCTGCATATCTGTGAATTTGCTTATTATCTACTAGAGGCATAACTAAACAACTGCTACTCCTTAATGTTTCAGTAACAAACAAAAATTTAAGAACATCTGACAAAGGAATCTGAGTCTTATCACTGCTACAAACTTGTATTGATATCCTAATAAGATCATTAAAGTCTCAGCATAAAAGTCTGCAAAATGTGAAAAAAAAATTCAGAGATATAATAGAGGACCACTCTTTAAGAAATGCTGTACTCGCCAATGCTTCTATGGAAACATTATCATGTAGAAAACAAAAATCAACTATTCAGAGCAGAAAAATGATTCAGAAGAGATTCATGAAAAAGATTCGGAACACCTAGACAACTTATTTTGCTATTTTCATTTTTAATGTATGCACAATAGAAAAAAAATCAACATTTAAATAAGTTGAAAGAATATTAGTATAAATAAACAATCTAAGTAAGAGAAATCATTGAGTCCGAGTTTAAGTGTCAGCTTTTTTCTTCTTAACGGAACATAAACTAATGATGCATCTTACATTGATGCAGACAGGTTCAATGGGATCACCTAACAGCTATGTAATCACATTCTTTCAGCACATATGAAAAAAAAACTTAATAAATAATAATCGTTTAAAAAAAAAGGAATGATGTGGTAGAGATGAAGTGGCTTTGCTTAACCTCTGGAGGTACCTTACTAAAAAGCAGAATTAGAAAGCTCAAAATGACATCCCAGACTCTCTTAAGATTCAGCTTCTAAAGATGGATTAGGCTCTGCCAATGGTAGGTGGTGCACAAGCCTCGAAAGAGAGAAGTGAAGCAGAGTCCTCATTTTGCCCTTTTATACAGGTTGCTTCTTAGCTAGCCAGCAAGGATGTGAAAGGTGAGGACTTTCTGGAAGAGCATTCTATTTAAGTGTTTGCTGTCTAGACTCTTAGGCATTGAGAGTTCATTCTAGCAGCAGAAACTTTTTGATTCACTCTATGGACCTCATCACAACTGGGGATACATATGGAACTCAATAGTTCCCAGAGCTCACCTAGGAGGCAGGAGTTCCTCTGGTGACTCAATCTGGAATTTCAGGTCAGATCCAACTCCTCTAGCCATTCTCAGGGCTATGACAAGCTCTCCATCACATCCTCCCTTCATGTTTCAAAATACTTACGTGCTTTATGTTCTTATATTTAACTTTTATCAATCAGTTAGAAGTCAGTAACAAAACAATGATTAGTAAGTAAATATTGTTTGGAAATAAATTTAAGAAACAAGTCTTACTGACTTTCTAACTTGATTGTTTTGTGATCAGAGAATGTGGTCTTTACTATCACAGTGGTTTCAATAAAAGTTAAACTATTGAGTTCCATATGTATCCCCAGTTGTGAAAAAACAGCTTTGTATACTTAACATTTAGGACTTTATTTATTGCCCTTAAAAGTCTATGTCCAAGTAACTAATCCCTTTTAATCTTGACAGAGGGAAGATTTCTGAAAAAGACATTAAAATAGCATTCTATTAATAAGAACCCTGTTGCCATTAACAGAACCAATGCTAATCCACCTAGGAAGGCTTTGGGACAATTTTGCCTGAGGTACAGCATGAGTCATTGGTTTACTGCCACCTTTGCCTTCAGACCCTGTGGCTCTGAAATACAAGCACCAAGGGCAAGTCCAGCAGTGCTATAAAGGACACTGGGGAGGGGGACTTTTTCTTTTTAGAGCAATTA